AGACGGAAGGGGGGAGGGGGCAGAGGGTGAGAGAAGAAGGTGAAGAAGTTAGCTGTGGGTAGGCTGGCCGAAGTTGAGACTACTGCGGTGTTCTTTGATGTTTCGCCTCCGCTGTAACCTCTTCTCCTTCTATCCCTGACTTGGGCTGGGCAGGGACCCCTTTGTTCCTCACATCCCCTCCTCCCCCCTCCCATCCGCGCCGCGCCCTGCCCGACACAGGCACGCCCACACCAGATAATTCCGACCGCTACATTCGCCGTCAGATATACTGCTCCCCCCCCCCTTTTCCCCAGAGAGCCGCCGACGCGCGCAGATTTTCCTCTCAGCAGACGACATAATTTTTCCGCCATCCGCGAAGCGAATAGCGCAATCCCTCATGAAACTTTTTTCCCCGCGCCGCATCACAGCCGTGCCGCTCAGCCAACCGCTCAGCCAGGCCGCAAACATATTTTTGTTGCGAATTTGGCCTTCCCTTCTGTCTCTTTCCATCTTATTCTTCTCCCTACTTGCTTTCTTTCCCTATCCCTTCCAGACCGCAAAGTGAATATTTCGGTCCAGGCGGGTATGGTGCCCGTTCATAGAAAGTGTTGCTCTCCACCTCCTCCTTCGCCTCCCGCTCACACGCACCCCTCCCCCTCTCTCTCACTCACTCACTCGCTCTCATGTGCACACACACACACAACACACACACACACCACACACACACACACACACCACACACACACACACACCCCACACACACACACACACACACACACACACATACACACACTCGCGAGCGCGTCCCTGTGCCACGATAGTCCCCGCGAGGCCGGGGTAACGACTTGAGATTCCCGGTGATCAATGGTCGCGAAAAAGCGAGCGTCATATGCCCTTAAAAAAAAAACCGGCCCGCAGCGACGAGAGGCGGGGGCGTAGGGGTTGGCGGCGGCAGACCACTGCTCGCTGCCTTTCAATCTCTTAGCTTATGGAAAAGAAGTAGCATGGGAGAGCATCCCCACCCGGTCCCACCTAACCCCCGGCCGGCATTGCACCCCCCCCCCTCCCGCTCCCCCAGACCGCCCGGGATGATGAATCACTCCTTGGAATAGCCCTCGCCGAGTGGGGTCCCCGCCCGTGCCTCTGCGGACGGCGGAGGGAATCCGCGCATGAAAAACAGTCATCTTGTTCTTCTTGCGGACAGGAATGGACCCGGCTCGCCTCTGTGTGTGTCCGGTGAGGGGAAAGGCGCGTGAGGGTGTGTGTGTGTGTGTGGGGGGGGGGGGGGGGGGGGGGGGGGGGGGGGGGGGGGGGGGGCAAGGCGGTGTGGTTTCTGTTCGTATGTAGGATAGGCATGAGGAGTATAGTGGGTAAGCGTGAGCACGGCCAATAAGAGCAGGACAAAGTCGGAATAAGTCGTTAATCGTTTACCTCCATTACACCGACCTTTTGTTTTGGAGCTGTTATCGGAAGGGTTTGTGCAATCGATCTTTGTACCGACGATACTAATAAATCAAAATCAAATCAAATCTTTCTCCTGGCCGCAAGGCCCTCTCGCCTCCCCTCCTCCTTACCCTGCTGCTGGTCTGGAGGCGCACGGAACGGAGGGCTCCCTAATAGTTTCCCCGGGGAGCCGCTGCTGGCCGCTGGCTGGCTGGCCCGGCATGGCCCCCGGGCTCCCTTCCCTGGCCACTTGCTCTTGCTGGCTCCTCCAGACCGGCGGACGCAGGGACGCCGAGCGGTGGAGCTACATAATAGGACCCTATCCCCTTCAGAGGCTCCGGAGCGCCTTGGAGGTAGGCAGCCCGAGGCCGTGCTCGGCAAGGCTGTCTTCGCGTTGCCTATCTACCAGGCGCGCTCGCCACCGAGTGCCCTCGCGACGCGAAACGACACCTGTTGCTTCGACCATCAATTGACAATCTGATCTCTATAGGCCACGCCCACCCAGTATTAGTGTTACATATTGTTCTCGTGATGCTCGGTGTCAAGCAACGGCTATGCATGCAACGGGAAACAAAGTTGTTGCAGCGAGATTGGCCCATATTTTACAGAATCACCGGCAAGGCGGCGAGTCATCGGTTCCTCTGCGACTCTTAGCACCGCACACTGATAAACTAAGTGTGCAACTGCCCAACACTTCGTTCATCAGTATACTTAGTGGTGAAGTTTCGTTCCAGCTTACCAGCTAGATTCTAAAAAATGTATCAAGACTTAACTGGCAATTTTCACTACTAGTTTGGGAACCGCCATCTTTTCATTTTTATTTTTTCCGGCAGTAAAGAATAACGACAAGTTCTAATATGTATATCCGTTATGTTCCATGTATCCATCTTGGACACAATCCCCCCCTCCCTTCCTACCCCTAACACTCCGCCCACCTATCACAGCCTCCTCCCCTTTTCCTCCCTTTTCCCATTCACGCCGTCCATTCAATTACAAAAACACATTTTCGCGCACACGCTGCATCGTATAAACGAACGAGTGGCGGCAGTGGCGGCGGCAAGAGCAAGCGCGGCGTTCGTGTCGGGAAAAGAAAAGTGGCCCTCAGGATGGCTCAGCGCTGCGGTCTTGCCAAGGCCTGCTTTTTCCGGGATGAACCGCGTAGCGTGGAGTATAGCAGTGGGCTCGCGCCTGTGTCCGTGTGTGTGTGCGTGTGTGTGACATAGGGTTGGTGGGGGCACTGTTGGACCACACACTGTAACCCAGTCAACAGAGCAGCTCCCATTTACGTTCAAACGTAAACTTTTTACCAGAAAATTGCCTATTAACTACTGAAGTTTTGTGCTGTATATTAATAAACATTTAGTACGTATTACTTTAAGTGTTTCCTAGTATTACTTGTACGTACGTTTTCCTCGTATTATAATTGCGACACTAGGAAAACGTTTCATTATACCCGGAAGAAGTTTAGTAATACAAAAAAAATTCTTGATAATATAATTCCCAAACTTTTAGAAGTAATCAGTCAAATTTTCTCGTAAAAATAAGTTTTGAGTGCACTTTTCCATTTTCAGTGCATCAACTTGATTATTGTGTGTGCAAATGTGTTGCAGACCACCCAGTTCGCCGTGCTCTGGGCGCTCTTCGTCCTCATCGTGCTGGGCAACTCGGCCGTGCTGCTCGCCTTGGCCTTCAACAAGCACAGGAAGTCCCGGATGAACTTCTTCATCATGCAGCTGGCTATCGCTGGTAAGTGCAGTGACAAAATGTAATCAGAGCGGGGCCGGGAAGACCTTATAGTTCGCTTTTTGAGGTGCTAAATTTTAGCGACCTTACAAGGTTCCCCGGTATTTTTCCGTTTTCCGTTTATGCTCCGGATGAGTCGCTGTGTCGCGTCGAGCAGCATGCGGTTACGCGTGGGTTAACACTGCTCCAGGCCCTCTTTCCCCTATTCCCCTAGACTCCAGCAAACTCTGGCCCAGCATGGTATCAGTGGCGCGAAAAGCTCTCCGTCAAACAAACTCTGTATAAGCTTCGTGCGTTACATGGCCGTGGCGCGGCTAGTGTCGGCGAAGCTGCATGCATAGACGATGTGACCCCATAGTTGTGGTAGCACGAAGGGGGAGGAAGGGGATGGGGGTAGGGGGTGGGGGATGGGGACATGTTTTGGTTTCCAGCCGCTAGGACACAGCAGCAGTGTTCACCGTGACCATGGCGAGGCTGGGTTCACGGGCGCGGCGCGATTCGTGCCGAGTTGCGAGACACGTGCGGCAGGCGGCCTCTCTGCCAGGCGCGTATCCCAAGGGGACCGGAGGGGGGGGGGGGGGGCATGAGTCATGACCCTCTCTAGAGACCCAAGTGCGTACTTGTATTCTCTGTTGACTGAATACCGTGTTGTTAAAAATAAGTTGAGATTTCCCTTCACTTGCCGGACGGAGCAACTGTAAAACCCAACGCTCCAAGACGCTTCTTCGTTATTTTCAAAAAATCGAGCCTTTTGCCAGCTCAATTCGGAACGCGGAATTGCGTGTAGATTACGGAGGTCTCAGAATCCAATTTCATTTCATGGCAACTGTAATGCCGCTTAGAGTTTGGATATCCTACCCTCTCTGTTTTACCAGAGTGCGCGGTTTGTTAGCGTTTCACAGTGCACAGAGAGTGTGGGATCGCGCAACACAACAGCGTTTCGGTCTTATCCGGTATACACTTCCGTCTATAAATTTCAGGTTCTCTTTCAGCCCTTTTGGCCGTTCTAGTCCCTTTTTTGAGTCCTGTTTTAGTCCTGCAAGTGCACATTTTCGGGACTTTGAGCTAGCGAAAGGGACAGTTCACAAAGCAGTAGTTTCCCCTCGGAGCTATAGTATAGTGTCGCGCCGGGTGTGGGTATAATTAAGACCGCAATGGGTAAACCACACACACGGACACGCTATGCAGGGTGTAGGCACGTGTTTCCTAGCCAAGGACCGAGGCACGTCTTACGTGTCGCCGCGACCGGGCCGTCCCGGGCCGGATCGGGTAGCACCCCGAGTCGCGAATGCGTGCCGAGGTGCCGAGGGCTTCCCAGCGGGCGCAGGCTCTGACGCTCCCCCTCGTAAGCGTGAGAGTTGAAAAGTCTACGCATGTCTAACAGCTATCGAAAAAGTCCAGTTGAAATCTTTTCTCAGAGTCCTTTTGGTCCCTTTTCTATCAAACGATCACGATATAAACGAAATGTATGGAGTTCGTTCCCTATCTCACAGGAATCAGTTCCTTTGACCGCCGCTCCCACTACCTGAGCTAAGATGACCACCGAGAGATGTCTGAGGGTGACCACTTCTTCATTATACTATCAGCATATAATAAAGGGACTAAAAGGGGACTAAACAGAGGTTTTTTAAAACGGGACTAAAAAGCGGCGACAGAATAGTCTTCGTTTAGTTCTGTTTTGTACACTGATAAACCAAGTGTTCAACTGCTCAACACTTGTAAGTGTGCAACTGCAAGTTGAATACTTGCAAGTGTGCAAGTCCGTAGTCGTACACTTGCAAGTGTTAAACTCGGTGCACTTGCAAGTGTGCAAAACTCCACGGTTGAACACTTCCTTAGATTGGACGCTTACTGTGTAGGAAGTGCTCAACCGAGGAGTTGCACACTTGTAAGTACACGCCTGCCGAGTTGCACACTTGCAAGTTTTTAACTTACAGTTGCACACTTAAAAGTGTTGAGAAGTTGAACACTTAGTTTATCAGTGTAAGGACCACTAAGTGACTGATACGGGAGCGTGACGGGATTTCCTATTCCGTACGGGTGTGGTAGTGGTTGTTCAAAGCTTTCCCCCATATTCCCCTTTGTAAGATGAGATGGTAAATTACAGGGATATCCGTCCGTTAGTTAGCGAAAGAACGTGACCAACCACCCCCCTTTCCCCCGCACCTGTGGTCCTGCCTACCCCGCTTTGCGACTGTATTCCACGGGGTGGCAAAGCACAGCTGTCCGATGCTCCCCGCCCCGCCCGCCCGCTGCCTGCCCCCCAGACCTAGGCAACGACGAAATTAAACTAATTCTTCATCCTCCTACGACAACTTTTTCCGATAGCGGAGCGGACCCGTCTCAGACCCGTAGCCCGTCGGACTCGTCGCTGGGATGCATATCGGATCCACTGCATTCCGTCTGGTTGGTTATCTCTCGAACATCCGAAGGTCCCCGGTCCTGGTATGGAAGAAATTTCAGCGCAACTCTCTAAGAAGGATCAACTACAAAGAAAAATGCTTAAAATAAGTTACTTATTTAAAGAAACGGCCAACGGTGATCCAATACTTGAAAAAACCCACCGTCAGCGGCTGACCAATACTAAACTGTAAGTTCAGCATAAAATTGATGCATCGAATGACTTTGAAGCATCTCTCCAGTTCGAGTTTTCCAATACAGTCACTGATAAACTAAGTGTTCAACTGCTCAACACTTGTAAGTGTGCAACTGCTCAACACTTGTAAGTGTGCAACTGCTCAACACTTGTAAGTGTGCAACTGCAAGTTGAATACTTGCAAGTGTGCAACTCCGTAGTCGTACAATTGCAAGTGTTAAACTCGGTGCACTTGCAAGTGTGTAAAACTCCTCGGTTGAACACTTCCTTAGATTGGACGCTTACTGTGTAGGAAGTGCTCAACCGAGGAGTTGCACACTTGTAAGTGCACGCCTGCCGATTTGTACACTTGCAAGTATTCAACTTGCAGTTGCACACTTGCAAGTAATTTAACTTGCAGTTCAACACTTACAAGTGTTGAGCAGTTGAACACTTAGTTTATCAGTGTGCTCAGTTTGTCGAGGCCCCTAGGGCTGTTGTCGCTTCGCGCGCCCGTGGATCGTGCGCCCCCCGTGCAGCGCGCACCGCGGTACGTCACCGCGAGATGTTTCGTCGCTTTGATCTCCGGCCGGCGGGCGCGCCACGCCTCGTTTGATCCCGGCGTCTTGTGGCGGCAGCGGCTCCGGCCGCGCGGCTTCGCAGGACCGGCTCCAGGAGTGGCTCCAGAAACAACCCTGCAATAATGAATGGAATATTTCCTGGAATAATGTTACTCTTAAAATCACTCTAAACGGACGATATTTTGGTCCTAAGAGTCCTGACTATAGACGAGTTGCCCCTTGAGTACTGAATACTTTAGCAGAGCACCCAGGGATAAAACCTCCGGATACCGAGTATATTCTACTTGTCAGGGTATGTACTTGCTGTCAATATGCACACTGCATGCACAGTGCATATATTTAGGCAAGTGCGAACTAGTAACTGTATATTATGTAAGGCACTGCGTCCAACATTAGCTAAAGTATATGGCAGTTTTACACTCCAAATGTAAAGAGACAAGTTTTGGAAATGGAACGGATTTGTGCACATCTAGAAAGGGTGCAATTTTCTGCCAGAAACTAGACAAATTGTGTGGTGCTTTACACAATTTCGTTCAATTTTGGGGACAAAATTGCATCATTTCTCGACGTTCCGTTCCATTTCTAGGAACAAAACTATCCCTTAACATTTTTAGTGTACACTTGACTTAACAGTTTATGTTTGGTGTGTGTATTTCTAAAAATCCTGCAGTGCGACTGCCCCACTGTTTCAACCACGAAACAGCCGTACCTGTTGCACATTCTTTCCCTCTTTTAAAAGGGTGGGATGCTGCCCCACTGTTGTGAGGTGTTGGTGTGGCTGAGACCCTCCAGGCCCCGCCGTGCCTCGCGCCCCACTGTTGTGCGAGGTGTTGTGCCCCTGGTGGTCGAGGCCCTCCAGACCCCCCCTCCCCCGGTGCCTCGCGCACCGCCGTTGTGAGGTGTTCTACCCCTGGTGGTCGAGGCCCTCCAGGCCCCGTCGTGCCTCGCACCCCACCCGCAGGCGCTCGGCTGAGCCATTCCGGCCAGGCACTAATGTATTTACGCCCCAGGCCTCCACGGCGGCGCGGAGGCAGGCGAGACGACGAGTGGGCTTGGCCGGGGCGCACAACGTAACGGGCAGGACAACCATGTTACAGGCGAAGCCGGGCAAAAAAAAACATAAAAAAACATCCCTTTGCTAGCCAGGCGGGTCAGAGAGGGCCGGAGAGGGCCTTGCGCGCCGCAGGCAGTGCGTCCGTACAGCCATCCGAGCGCCATACTATGGCCGCCACCACTGCCCTCTGCTTTGAACCTCAGTGCGAGCTGGAATTCAACCGCACTAGATTCCCGTACGGCGAAGCGCGACCGGTGCTAGAGATCGTATTATTTCAAGTGCACGTTGTGGCGGCTGCGGCTACCGTGTTGCTAACCGATATGAGTGCTCAGCTTCCGTTTGTGGATTGCCTTACCATCCCACTGATCGTCCTAAACCACCCAGGCTAGCAGCCACCCCCGCTCATTCCACGGTCCTCCTCACGTGAGGCTGCCTGAAGCGCACTTTGCATTGGCATTGTATCCGCACTGCATCAGGACCTTGCCATCGACTAGACACCAGACAGCCCTTGACCTAAGCTACGGCGTATGTGCTTATTCTTCAGAATTTCTGCAGACCCATCTCTAGACGTCTCTCACACTTCGATTTGACGTCAGATCACTTTAAACGAATCATCATTGCACCCGTCATTGAGCCTGAAATGGGATATGACCTCAACTGAAGCGATCCGACGTCACATCGAAGAATATGAAGCTTTCAAAGATAGGTCTGCAGAAATTCCGAAAAAGTACAGACGCCTTTGTTCATCCGTCCTAAACAGATTCGCCCTTGTTCGTCCCTCCTCCACAGATTT